AGGTCATAGTATTATTTCATCTTTTCTGCTTTCAAGATGAACACGAGTGTACATCCGACTAGAGGTGGCCACTCAAAGATGCCATCCGGTCCGCTAAGTCCGGTTCGTTAATTTTTATCAGCTGTCCGTTAAATTTCATTAAAGAAAAAGGGAGAAAAATTCAGAAAAAACGAAAAAATCCAAAAAAATCGAAAAAAAACCCAAAAAATCACAACAACTGCGGCTAGTTGAAAATCTAGTATGCATAGGTTGAAATAAAATACAAACATACTCTCTAATAGCGAATTCCATATACTATAAGTATGACTAAAACCCAAAAATCCCCAAAAAATCCAAAAATCCGTTAATTTTTGGTTAATTTTTGTCTTTTTTCGTTATTTTCCGTTAATTAACGGAAAATTAACGGAAATTAACCTCTCTCCGCTATTAACGGATCCGGGTGGCCACCTCTACATCCGACATAATGATGGGAGATACCTAACTTAGAGATTTTTGAGATGAGCAGCTATTGCAGTGATATTAAAGAGGTCCCAATAGCAAGAAGATCGGTTGATTTTCTTGTACACTAGAACATATCCCAAAATTCTACTGAGGGATTGGACATATGGTCATTGGGCACTCGTGTTACAGAATCGCGTGGGCAACGCGTTTCCACGCGTCGCACCGCGTCGGCGGTCCAACGCCTGCCGGTGCCTGCATACTCTGGAGTATGCCTGAGGTGATACTAGCTTTGTAGTTAGGTCAACCATTGGGTAGCCGATCGAGGACATTGAGTGCAGACTTGTTTTTGAGGGCAAAAACTCCCCCCAGGGGAAAATACTATTGTGGAAACACATGGGGGTCGAGAGAATTATGGCTATTAATCTTGGTTGGTTAGTCATCTGTGGGATTCGACCCATTATTTGGATTCCTTATGATCTCTAGATACTCGTAGGCTCTTTCTTTGTCTTTATCCCCCAGGTATGGAGTAGTTTGTGGCCTAGGGAAATCCCTGTACTTAAGGGATAGGCCGTGGGGGTAGATTGGGCTGCGACATATCAATAGTGGGTCCGATACAGGGGTATGCCGGGCGATACAGTCATGACACGTTGATGTACATTCTGTGGTGTCTGTGTGATGGGTGGCTAGACCGGAATGTGGCCGACCACCAGTACGTACACGGGGGTGCGTTGCTCCCCACTCTATTACCCGTTTGGCTCACTGCCGTGCTCCGCACAGGCCTCGCGGCCCGGGGAGCAAGCTGCTTTGCTACCCGCCGTCTTCGAACGGCAGGACCATCCGATCCCAGAGAGCAAGAGGGCCCACCGCACAAAGAACGAGCGAGCACCCCGATTAGGCCAGCTGGGTTCGGCGGAGCGGCCATCGGCCCAACCGGGTGTAGGTGGATGAAGTGGGATATGCGCAAGAAAAAAGGGACTAGCGGAGGCTATCAAAAGGGCCCCGCAACATGCAGTGAGTTGTGTAACCATTTTGGTCCACACTCTGACCTCCTGCGAGCTAGCAAACCACCGCCTCGCTGCGCCACCACCTTTTGCTGATAGCAGGCTTTAGGGATCAATCCCCGTTGAGCATTGGGCCCACCGTGTGACCAAGTAATCGACTGCCCCGGATACGCCCACCGTCCAAGGTGGAGAGGCCGGCTGACCTCCAACATCCGTGTTGCAGGGCAGAGCGACTTCAGCGTGTCCAGAAACTAGTGGCAGCAAATGGGCCGCAACACTGTGCACAATTGTGGAATAGGTGCGCTGTCATAGCGCACAAGTTGTAGAGTTCGGAATCATCTAGAACACCACAACTAAGAACTTGTTGGAAGTGAAAGTTGCAATTATCATGCAGCGCCAACGTGGGCAGCGGTGGATTTAGAAGTGTGCAGATGAGAATGGGCGTTTGAGGGACCCCGCACTGATTTGGGGCTTTCTTTTTGAGAATCAATGCAATTCTCTAATGTTTTACAACCCGGTTTTACACCCTGGAATGCATGAATTTGCAGCCCAAACGTATTGATATTGGGGCGCGGCATGTGCTACGAGAATTCAAACCAAGGGAGTGTGCATGAGAGCTAGAAATGCTGGCCAAATCTCATTTTTGCATGGCGGTCTGATCAGTAGTTATGGGGGGAGCTTTTGACCAGTTTCCTAGAGAGTTTTTGAACGCTTTTGCTTGGAAGCGCTTGGGAAAGGGTGAAGTAGGTTATTGCCCCTCGCTGGCTACTTAAAAGGGTTGCCCACATCAGGGGGCAGATTGGAATCCAAGCTGCAAGTCCTGGCACTTGTAATGACAGATTTGCAGCCTAACTATCTCTGTTTGCCTGCTGGTCGGTCTGAGTTGCTGAGTGGACACGACTAGCCATCTTGCATGGCGGATTCTAGCATCTGGACGCCTGCATTGCTGACAGCCGGCGGGATCGACCACTGAATCGATTTGGTGTCGCACCTAGTGATTGAGGCGGGCGCAGTGATGACTGATCGCCATGTGGGGGAAGGTCTCGAGCGGGCATGTGAGCTGGCGGTCCTGGTTTCATTTGCAGCGCTGCGCTGTGATTCATGGCTCAGGGTTAAAGTGAATCTGGCTTTGGTGTGTAGGGAATCCCTGCGAGTGGGTGCCAATCATGATGGGGCGCTGTAGGGGCCATGGTGGGGAAGTGACAGTCTGCATGTCGGTCATGGGTAGAGCACACACATGCGATCCTATTCCATCGCAAAAGTGACGCATGTCAGCAGGGTTCATGATGGGTGGAAGTCAGTGGCCAGCGCGGCACATACGAGGCCTGGGATGGGGATCACATAACTGCAGCAGAGGGGCGGATCGGTTGGCGTGCCTTGATGTGAATGACTGATCGTACCAGCATCCCATCGCCGCTACTGCCTTGTGTGAGGTGCCGGCGGCGGGGGTCGCCAAGAGGGGCACGTGACCGGGACTGTGTTACCGTCACTATATACTATTGTGGGTACGACAGCGAATGCAATGTTCCCTTAAGAACTGGAACACAGCCAAGGGGTGCGAGGACTACTTCAGCCACGCCACTGGCTCAGTGGGGCAAGTGCGTGGCAAACTACCAGCTACCTATAGTACTGAAAGCAGTAATGTGTATTCGATGGCAGTGGGTGGCATCCAAGCAAGCTGTGGAGAAGCTTCCCCTCAATCTCTGGACATCATACTCGTTCGTTTGCCTCATTCTGCGAGCATGGTGCAACAATGCAAAGAACAAAATGTACCAATATGCCGTGAGCATTCTGGTGTCCGGCCAATTCGTTTGAAGACAACTCCTCTGACGGACAAGTGGTTTAATGACATTTGGTCTAAGGACAACTTGTCTAACGGGTGATCTTGGTTAAACACGACCATGGGTTGATTGTGTACCAATGACACAGACTTCTATGTTACGAATACCACTAGTTTTCAAAGCCATTGCGTGAGTTCAGCTGCCCTGTGGTGAAGTCAATTGCAACCTTGACTCCGTCTTTGCGTTAGACGGGTTGTCTTTAGGCGAGTTGAGTCAACTCGTCTAAGCAGCGCCCATCAACTGCATTCGACCTTGAAATACATTTCATTCCGTTTGCAGCGGGCTGCATTCCGAACTGGTTATTGGGCGCGTTCCTAACGCCTGCACAGGTGTGGGACAACATAGCAGCGTGAGCGCCGATCTAGGAAAATGGCTGGCGGGTGTGGCACAGTTTGGCATGGCGTGGGGCGTCGATTGGCAATTATGGATCGGCGGGAGAGGCAACCAAATGGCAGGCCGATTGACATCGAGGGAACAAGCAGATCTTCCAAGGCAAGAAGGTAGATCGACGGGAGAGGCTGGCCAACGCGACCCCAATCCGCAATGGGAACTGATTCACAGCGAAAGAGCGTTGAGGCTCCACATGGCCCTTGGGCCACCGGCTTGAGCTGGAATACAACTATGAATTAGTTGGTCTTTATGTTTAGGGGAATGCGCCGAACGAGTGATGGCCCTCGGGCCACGGTTTGAGTTGGAATGCGGATATGAGTGAGTTGTTTTTGGGTTTAGGGGAATGCATTGAGCGAGGCCCTCGGGCCACTATCTTGAGTTGGAATGCAGATATGAGTGGGTTGGTTTTCGGCTTTAGGGGAATACGTGGAGTTAGTGAGGGTCCTCTGGCTACATGTTTGAGTTGGAATCCGGACATGAATGAGTTGGTTTGGGGTTTAGGGAAATGAGTTGTACAAGTGAGGGCCCTCGGGCCACTGGCTTCAATTGGAATGCGGATATTAGTGAGTTGTTTTTGGGATAGGGGAATGCGTTGCACGAGTGAGGGCCTTTGGAAGCAGGTGCGATGCGAATACAAGCAAGTCAACTTGGTCAACGGAATTTTATACTAGTTGTCCATTAGACGTAATGTCCTTATACCACTTGCCCATCAGGCGAATTGCCTTTAGACGAAATGGCCGGCACCCAGCATTCTGATGCCAAAGCGGTGCATCAGGCAGGCGCAGAGGCTGAGCGCTGCCAAAACGCGTAATGTGTGTCAGGGCGATATGCCAAATCGCTGGATTGAGCAGCGGGCAAGGAATGCAACACAAAGGTGCAGGTACATCGCCAGAGTTTGTAGAGCCGCCTGTAGAGGGAATCTGCACGAGCAAATCGGAGAAAGTGTGCATGAATGCGCAACGCTACCACGCGAAACCTCTCAAGTTGCAATTGCGCGTTTCGTATCTTGCAGCGAACACAGGGTCAAGCCCCCAACAGATGGGTACCGGGTGGCCTCCGCTGCTCTTGCCTTGTTGCCCAAATCACTCTTTGTTGGGACGCTGGGATGTTGGCAAATAACATTAACCTTTTAAGATATCATCCATTCAAGATATTTTAGCACCATGTGGTAATATTGGCTTACAACGAGAGCCGAACCATGCAAGGTGTACACCATTGCGAACAACAATCTTGTGAAATTCCCTTGCGGAACATACATGGCGCAGAAATCGAAAAATACAGCATTGTATTCTGGAATAAACAGCAACAAATGTGTGGCTGCACGCCGTCATTGTAGAGGGCACCTTGCTGTGCCTTCTGAAACTCCAAGGCCTCTGCCAAACTGGCAATCGACTGACCGATTTATTCCAGCACCAGGATTGACATTCGGGTCGACGTTTGCAGATAGGTTGCCCAGCATACGGGCCAAATCGACTTGCATTCGGCCGTCTACGAGCCCCTCGACATAATTCCGGGGCAGATGAGTGTTGCAGGAGAAAGAGATAAAAATCAGGTCTTGCTTCCAAGAGAATAATGAAAATGCCCAAGCGGCTTCGAGGATAATGATCTGGAGGCACACATCCCAGCCGTGGCAGCGGCCGGCAGCAACTCGTCTCCGAGGTGTGGAGACTCCGAGGTCTGGTGCCAAACCTGAATCTGCCAAAGGGTTGTCATACAACAACGTGGAATAGTGCATGATAAACAAGAAAAGGGAGCCCCTTTCCCGGCTTCACAAAGGCCGCCAACCAGCCGACGATTATTGAGTCACGCAACCCTTTAAACGCAACGACCAGTGGTGCACACGCGCACCGCCCCGGGCCCGCACGGTTAACTACTAAAGTTGCGAAAGTCCGGGGGCGACCGCCGCCGGACAGAATCAAGGCGGCCCACGTGGCCGCCCCGGCGACGAGTGCAGCTGTTATTCCACCCGCCTTGCCTCTAAAATCCAACATCGAACTCCCGATGGGAGAGAGCCGCACAGGCGACGCTTCCAGACGCATGTTCCCGAGCGCCCCTCTCCGTGGGAAGAGGCGCCTTCTCTGGGTTGGTGACGATGGCTGGAGCTGAGAAGTTAGGAGCCGCCCAGGACGGCCTCGGCGATCCTGGCGGAGAGCTTGAAGAGGGTCTGCGCGGCAGCAAGGAGGCACGAGTCACTGTGCAGCGAGGGTGGTGTGCATCACTCGGAGCTCCGCTAATGCAAGCAGCAAAATTAAAGGGGCGGGCTACAGGAGAAGCCCGCAAGCCCTCCAGTCTGCTCAAGGTGACAAAAGCGAGGCACAAGCCATATAGCCTTCAACAGAAGCTCTTTGGGCGCAGGCGAGGTGCAGCCATTTCCATGCGGCCCCTCCCTGTGGACAGCAGCCTTTTCACGAGGCAATGGCAAAAAACAGCGGCGAACTTGGAACGCCATTGCGCAAGCTCGTCCGCTCGCCCAGTGATGGTGATCTAGACGCGAGCATGCATTGATCCTAACCAATGCAGACACAGCCTGCGGCATTCCTGCGAAGGGCTGCGGATTTCAACTCCCTCTCACCCCGATGATGTCGCCAAAGCCTTCAGCCAGCTCGACGGCCCGCTTCTCCTCCTCTTCTTCCTGTGCCTCTTTCAAGAAGATCTCTCCAGTGTTCTGCGGCCAACAGCGCCTCAGGTAGAGTCGTCAGAGAGTCTCGGAGAGAACTGCCACTGACGGTGCTAAGCTTATCAAAATTTTTGCGACAAACTGCCAGTTACTGCACACCTTAGGCGTTGGAACTTGTTGAGAGACTAGTGTTGCTCGTGTGGTCCAATAGTGGTAACAATATACTTCAAAGGGGTGCGTGTGCAGTACCGCACAATCGTGGGTAACGAAAGGGTGAACCCAACTGGGGTACAGGACTGTTTCATATCCATTGGCACACCACATTTAGACTTGATGGTCTTGTGTTCGTGTCAACTATGAAACAGTGATGAATTAACTACATTTGGAGGTCGACTCTTCTGAAGACAGCACAAACCATCCGACATTATCCATATACTCAAGAAGCATGTGGGTTATGAAAGCAACTAAGCGAAATTCTGCGCAGATAGACCGCACGAATTGCCTGAAGCTCGATGACAATTGCGTATACTTTCTCTCCATGCCAGGTGACTGTTCAGTTGCTGAGCGTTCAACTGAACTGACAAAGAAAGATATGGCCAACCACCCCTTCGCTGCGCAAAATATCTCTGAAATTGACAGGGATGTGGTACCCACCTTGTCTTTGAAGGCTTCATACTCTGCACAAGCAAGGTGGAATGCATTAGTAACGATTGTAGTGGTCACACAATGTACGCTACATCATGGATAACCCCAATTTTTGGAACACGGGTAAAGCACATGGAACATGTGCACTGGGCCGGTTTCGCATTTCCAATTGACGATAGCAGGTGCTGTGGACATTGCAGTGGCAAGGGAACCTAGCTTCAGGTATGCACTTACTCAGGGCTGGGTCGATGGCACCAGCAACCACAACCTTCTCGGGTTGCGCTGGCCTTCCTCCAAGGAACTTCAGGGCTCGCAGCCGCTGCTGCCCTGCACACAGGAACAAGGTGCACCTCGTAACAGCATTGCCACAGAAGTGCAAAGAACAAGCCACTGAATTCGCTGGGGTTGATGGTTTATGGATTAGATCCGGGATAGGGGCACTGCGATTTCAGCCCCATTGTTGCGACTGAATCTTGTAAAGCCCATCAGCATCGATTTTTCGCTCCATCCGGCTCCTTTTCGAAGCAGATGGTCTTTCCGTGCAAGCAGGAGCAAGGGCTCCCACAGGTAAATTCTTTATTGTCGCGCGACACGCCCCGACCAAGCCAAAGGTGATGCGTCTCCAGGCCTCCGCATCTGGCAACGTTGAGAGAGCGCAGGGATGGACAATCGAATTGCAGGAGGATCGCAACGGGGAAGCGCAACGGGGAAGCTTACCAGGAAGGCTGGCCTCCACCGCATCTTCTGCTCAAAGGAACACACCACAGGCACAAGCTCTCAGACAAGCAGCTCCCCAACCAGGACATCTGCGCGTCGCCGCCCGAATACTGCTCCGGGTAGCGAGGTCGCAAGACCGACACTGGATGCACACGAGGGACGGCCCCCAGCGCAAACGCTGGTCGAGCCGCCCTTCGATTGCAAATCTAACCGATTCGCCAAAGGGAACACAACCAAAGGATTTCGTCCAAGGGGAATTGGCAGGTGCAGTGCCCACGGCGGAAGCGCGCGCGGGATTGGATGCTCCGCCAGGGGCAGATCGGTCTTCAGCATTCTTCAGGAGATTGGCCCAGGGGGGGTCTGTGTGCCCTCTTTGGGGCAAGGGCCGCATAAACATGGCGCTGGCTCTCCCCACCCAGCCAATTCCGTCACCAAGAGAGGCCGAGCGCACGCAGCTCGGCGCCCGGCTCACATGACTGTGAAACAGAGCAAGAGGCTCAAATCCCTTTTCCCCCCGTCCGTTCCCTTTCCTCTTGAGCTGACATGCAAGCCCGCGTGGGGCACAGCGACATCGGCAACGTCACGTCGCTCATGTCGCATCGGGGGTACTGCGCTCCTCACGCCAACGCCCACCGGGCTGCGACCACGGGCGTCCAAGTGCCCGCGCGCCAGCCATGCGTCCGAATCCGTTCATGGCCAACGCCGAATCTCACCCCACGCAGGGATCCAGTTGGATGCCCACAGCCATGCACGCCGCGCGATTTTGGCCCCTCATGAGCCATCTGGCGCCGCAGCTGCCACAACCGGCGCATCCAATCGCACATCGGGCCCCATGCGCCCTGCGGGGCGACTTAGTCGTGTGCGCAATCACTCGCCGGCTTTGCGCCCAGCCCCTCAGACAAAGGAACACCCCATGCATGGCCACACGGCGCCACCTCGGGGGCTGAATTCGAGCCGCTCACCAGCCAGGACGGCCACGGCCAGTGCGGCCACGCACAGAGCCACCGCCCAGGTCTTCATGCCGACGGCTTGCTTCCCTCACACCGCGGGAGCCCCGGGCTCCAAGTATCTAAGGCTTCGGTCCACCGCCACACCCCAACGCCCCTGCGCGCCCGCTGGGTGTGTCTTTTGGCCGGGGTGCCTTGGTGCGATGAGTGGGCTAATCGGCCTGATACTCTGGACGAAGCTGATGGAGGGGGGCACGTCGTGTACCTCTCAGCGCCTTCGGATGCCAAGATCCGACGTTTCTGCTAACGGGGGGGCGCCCCGAAAAGACAGGGGGGTCAGCTTGGGGTACATGTCTGTGAGAGCGGAAAGGGTAATTCGGACAACGACCATGATGTGACTGCACATCATGTTGAATCGTTGCCTCCAGCAGTATCGCGAGCAGTGTTTGTGTGTGGAGGGCTGGTTGCGCGATGAGAAGAGCGGGCGGGGGGAGTCTCCAACTCGAAGTGAACAACGGGAGGGCAAGGGTGCGATGGGGTCAGAGGAGCGAACACTAGGAACAAAAGGGCCAAAATACACGCGTTCCAACGTGCACAAAGTTTACGGATTTGGGTTATTTCCTTGTTGTTAGCATGCAGAACACTGATAAAATGCACATATATGTGTGTTCGCAAAAGTCCTATTTGGTCCTTTTTCTGCTAGTGCAAGATGCAACGCGACAAGGTTGCGACCGTCCAAATGCACAAGGCTTTATCCATGCCCGCTCACACAACCACAGAGGCACATTGGATAGAACCGTGGACGCAGCGGCTGTTGCCGGTTTGTGTCTCAGGTCTCGACAATTGCTGTGTGCATTGACCTCCTCATTTCGTTTGTTAAGGAATGCGTTGGTACACATGTTGCTGTGAAATGGGCAATATTCACCATCCATTTGGACAGTGCCCAGCCAACGATGTCAACATCGCATATGATGGTGTGGAATGGCTCCCGTCGGGAAAGAGTTGATATGCATGTCTAGGATATGGAAGCGATACATTCTGGACATGGTGCGTACATACACATGATAAGGTCCCCATATCTTATTCGACATCTAGTATACGGGGGAGAATATGGGACACCCATATACTGTTAGATATATAAGATATGGGACTTTTACCCCACCACCAGCTGGGATCTTGAACTGGGTTTCGGCGGCACTCATTGTTTTACACGATTCGCCTCGCCTGTTTCAATTTATTCTTTGCAGGGGCGGACAAACCTCCTCTGTACATAATGACGAATTACCAATGCTTTAGCACCACTGCCTAGTTCTTGATCAGAGCAAACTGTTCATGCAACATGCGCTACACACAATAGGAGATATCGACAAAAACATCCTTGTATCCATCTTCAAGATCGAAGAAAACCGGGAGGGAGACGCAAGCTGCTCGCAATCGATGCAATTGTCGAGGCGGGGGAACTGCTACGTGCACTGTAGTGTGTATTGCGCCCAGTCGCTGGCAACTGTGGGTTCAAATGGGCGAATGCCTGAAGACGCTTAGCCGCCCGCAGCGCAGGCGCAGAGTTCACGATGGTGTCAAGTCGCAATCCACACATGGCGATCCAATGCCCGTCCATTGAGACCATCGCCCAAACGTTGGATGGCTCTCCATGCGGCCGCGCTCAGCTTACATCCAAAAACGCATATCTCTCTCTCGTCCATTGCTATTGGGCCCCCGCCACCGTCCCCAAAATTCAAGGGTTTGTCCTTCCCGTAGCCGACAGCACATGCGCTCAAGCGCAATATGAATTTGAGCGGAAGGGATCGGTGCCCTGAAATGACCGTCAGTCCCCTGTACTTCCTTGAAAACTCCGAGATCCAATAAAGAAGACAGCAGCACAACCAAGCCTCACACGCATTTCACTCGTGCTGCCCACAGCCACACCACTCTGTCGCAGCACTATTCAGGAAGGGTAAAAATATGTTCGCAACCAGACCTCCCCTAAATTTCAGACAGCCGGACCAAAGGTTCAATGATTCAACGCTACGACCAACAGAAAATTTTACATCTGAAAGACGTATTCGCGGCACCTGCAGATTCACGAGCGTGGCTGGCTCGATCCCCACGTCCGGGATCCATTGCGCCTCCCACGAAGCCGCCACTGTGATGAAACCATATCGATGCAAAACCCCCTTCAGGGCATTCCCGATGCTGCTGCAACAATCCAGCAGGACGGGCAGTAGCTCACTGCCCCGGCGCTGAGACGTCAGGCGAGATCAGAGAGCCGCCGCCACCAAGGCGACGCCGCACGCAATTGCGGCAAGGGGCAAAGGGCAAGCTTCGCCGTCGTCAGTCATTTCATCCTCAGAAGAAGATGATTCTGTTGAATCACTTGACTCTGCAGGTCAAAGAAGTCCAGTTGGAGGAAAAGGAGTGCAGGACATGCTTCTCAATAATTTGGCTCATCGAATTCAAAAGCAAGCTGTTCGGCACGGGCAGACAGATATGGCTGGGGCATTGCACATGCAGGATCACTCTTGTCCACGTCCTGGACGCGGGCTGGTCTATATCCAGAATACGGAACAAGAATTGGTGGAACCAATCTTGAGGATTCCCCCCCAGCGCTGCTAATGTAGGCACAAACAACGCTTCTCATGCATGCCCCATTTTGGCGATCTGCGAGGAGGGCAGGTGAGGTGCCAGAGCCATTGTGGGCTGTGCAAGTCATTTGCAAACATTGTGAGGCAAACTATGGTTTGCATGAATCCCCTGACAGCAGAGCCACAGCGTGAATACACAAATCCGGCAGCATGGATGGATATCACCATAAGCTCCCCCCCCTTCCGCTGGTAATGCTCAAAGTGGTTCTCCAATGGTCTTGTGGAGTAGGGGGTGCGTAGGCTCTGCGCGGTTCCGTGTCTGATGTCAGCCATACCTTCGATGGGCACGCAAGCAGTGGCATTCGACACTGGAAAGATCACAACATTGTGGAGTCAGCAAGGTATCCACAGTAAGAAGACGCATTTGCAAACCAGTACATTGCTGTACAATGGCGGGCACTGTGAACAAAGAAATGACTGTCCCTCGTATGGAGACAGAGCCCATTCTGCGCCGCCAATCAAGCAGACAGCGCTTCCAATTTTCCGCCGATGATCAGACAAACGTCGACGGTTTTATACTTGATATTGCTATTTGTTAACGTCTATCTACTTACTGGTGATCATTGCACGCTGCTCATGCATTTCAATTACCACTTTCGTCATTGAAAGGCACCAATCAAATGTGTGGCATGTGTGACATGTGCCCTTGTTGCTAATGTATTGCACCAGCAGCTAATGTATTGCAGCCTTTCCTGTAAGGGTGTTGCCGTGGATGTACAGATGCATGGACTAGCAAGAACGCGGCGCACTTCCTGAATGCAGGTTGTGCCATAGTTGGAGCGGTCAATGGACTGGTCCCTTGCATTTCTTCAATGCGAAGTTATGTTTGATGTGTTCGTACATCAAGCATGACATCGCATTGAAGAAATGCACAACTATATCCTAAATTCTCATCTAACATCCACCCTTGAATTCCCAAGATGTGCATGAAGGGCAAGAACTATTTGTGAGAGATGGATATCGCACAATAGGCAAAAGGTGCTGCAAAGTGGAATGCGTCCCATTCATTGTGCAAACTCCCTTGCTGAGGCAGAAGGCTAGTTGTGGCATGTGGGGCACAACTGCTAGACCTTAGGCACTGGCCTAGGTTGCAGGGCTGACGTATGGCATGCGATCTATCACTGTGAGCAGAAGGCCCTTACCTCTATCTCCTACAGAGGCTGAGGCAGAGGCCATCGTGCCTTCAGGGCAACCATCGCCGTCCTCATCAACCGATGCTCCACTTGAAGATGTACCAGAGCTGGCGGTCACATTGTCAGAGCCGCTGGCCACTCCCATAGCAGTGGAATTGCCATTGCTAATCGTGGCACTGCTGTTGGCTGCGCGAGTCCCAACAAACTATTGGTCAAAATGCCAGCCAGCTGAGCACTGGCAGATAGAACAACCTTCGCATTGAGTGCTAGAACAGATGGTATTGCTGCCAGATCGACAATGGCCTGTAGGAGACCCATAGTGAGATGACCACTTGTGATATATGATCAGTGCCAGATTATGTGACCAAACTGTGTATGGCACCCTAGTTGATGCTAAATTGCTATTGAGCCCATAACCTACAGCATCTTGTGACAGATTGGCCAGTGGCTGCAGCATCCCAAAGAGGCACAACCCCAGGGGCAGTGTCAGGGAATTCATTTAACTGTATTTGCCAATGTAACAAGCCTTACCTACTGTATACCGAAAAATTTTCGCGGAGAAAAAATTCCGCATATTTCGCGGGAAAAAAGTTCACGGAGAACTATTTTCGCGCACTCGTCGGTGCGCGAAAATTATTCTCTCGCGAACCTTTTTCCCCGCGAAAATTTTTGACGCGCGAACATTTTCGCTGCGCGACCTTTGCGGGTGGGGTACCAGCGGGTGCCCGCCTTGTCTGTAGCCCGCTACGAGGCCCAACAAACTGAGGGTCCTTTGGCGTCCTGGGCGACCAGCAGGGCCTGCCCGAGTGGCCACCCGTGAGGCCCTGGAGGGGCGCCCGGATTGGCGCCTCACGGCTGCCCGTTCGCGCCGCCCGCGATGGCCTAGGATGGGCCCCGCCGGCGGCCAGGGTGGGCGTCAGCGAGGAGCGAAATGCGCCGCAAGATAGGCGCCTCGCGGGCGCACAATCACACCGCCCGCGCTGCCTTGAAATCACCCCGGCCGGTGGCGCGAATGGCCGCCCGATAGGCGCGACAGGCGCGCCCTCAGTCGCGCCTAGAAGCTTCCCATTCGCGCCCTCCACGGTGGCCTGGAACGGCCTCCGCAGGTGACGCGAATGGGCGCCCACGAATCGCAAGAGGCGCAGCCGGATTGGCGCCTCGCAGGCGCCCATTCCTGTCACCAGCGGTCGCCTGAAATGGCACCCGCCGATGGTGGGAATGGGTGCCCACAAGAGGCGACTTGCGCCGCAGCATTCGCGCCTCCCGGACGCCCATTCCCCCAGCCCGCCGTAGCCTGGAACGGCCTCCGCGGGTGGTGGGAATCGACGCCCGCTAGTAGCCCGCGCGCCCAGCGCCCGACCCACCCGTGAGGGGTGCCGAAAGTTCGCGGGCGAAAAAAGTTCGCGGGACCAAAAAGTTCGCGGAGAAATATTTTCGCGGACTGGCTCGACCGCAAAATGCGCGAAAATTTTTCTCCCGCGAACTTTTTTGGGTATACAGTAGGCATTTGTGAGGCAATGAAGGACGACTTGTGCATCTGTGGTACACTTACCAAAACCGCTTGCAGATACCAAACAGTCAAAGATGTCCAAGAGTTGTGTCAAATCAATGTGGGTGCAGCACCATCCCTGGCAAATGCTCTCCACGTGCAGCTGATCAGATGCACGCTGAAGCTTCTGTGTATTTCGGGATATATTGTGAGGCTTTTTGCGAATACACAGCACTTGTAGCTTTCGATGTCAGACCGCTTCAATGACTGACATTTCATGGCACAGGAAGGTGTCTGCCACCGCCTTGCTGATGAGTCTTGTCAGTCTTGCAAGATCTCTTCATAACAGAATCACACGGGTATAAAACAATCCATTTTCTTGTTATCATGCCAGCGTGTGCCCAGTTTTTTCCGAGCTTGCTTTGCCGGAAGGATGCTGGGAATGTAGAAACGGTGCATGTCAGCTTCACAGGGTTACAATACACAACTCTGATCACCAGATTGGTGAATCTGTCAGCATGGATGCTTTGTTTCTTGGTGAACTGCTTGCCATCAGTTGCATGTAGTAGCCACGTAAAGAACAACTGCTTTGTGCAGCAAAGTAGCTTCAGATATTTCTTCACAAGCTCACAACTATTTCAGATAGTTTGTGATCATGAAGCCAGTGCTCATTGCATTGTCATTGTTATTCGCATTGCTTCAATGCCATCCATATCAAAACAATATGTTCACCTGGGCTGAAATGACCAAGCTTGCTCATTTCAGCCCAGGTGAATATATTTTGATATTGAGTTGGCTCTTAAGAAAAATAGAAAAAAGGACAATAAAAGGACGTTCAAAAGATGGTGGTATGCCTGAAAGAACAAAAGTGTGCCCACGTGATCTCTTGCCACATCACCAAATGCGCCTTAGAAGCCTGGCCATACAGGTGATACACAGCCCAGAGCAAATCTGCTCGCTTCCATGCATTTTCTGCAAAGGAACTTTTCCATGCACACGAAGGAGGGATGGAGGCCAAGCGACATGTGCTGCCCGCACTGCAGGAGGGTGAAGGGACAGCAGGGTCGGGGAGTGTTCAGAGCCTGCTTGGCCATCTTATAGCAATTTGGGGCAGAAACTCAAAAGATGTTGCATGCTGGCCAGAACGGCGTGCGAACATTGAACACAGTTCTGAATGTTGGAACTCCTACGAACCAACTCAAAATAACGGACACACAAAGCCCACGTGGCCCGGACTGGATGACCACCGCGCAGCCCCCTTCGCCCTCTGGCGCGCACGAAGGCCCACACGACAACCAATGCACCGGGGCAGCGAGGGATCAAGCTCCGCGTCCAGAGATCCCCTCCACTTGTCGCACAAGCTCAGAACACGGGAGCGCGGTGCCCCCGCAACTCAGGACCGCCCAGGACTCGGACACCGCTGAGCTTGCTCTCCTGGGCAACCGCGCCCGTTCGATCCCCCGCGTTAGCAAAACGGCCTCGCTACGCACTTCATCGTTCTTCAACGCGACGCCATCCCAATCAAACAGATCGTTTGCCCTCGCCCTTTCCCTCCCGCGCGCCGAATGCCCCAAAGAAACGGCTTCGCTCCCATTCACCGTTGACGCCTCGGCGCTGCAAGTCGTCGCAAGCGGAGCCCACCGCCGGCACAGGGCCGCACCGCTTTCCTCATTCTTCGGGGGAATGTCCCCTCACTTTCTCCAACCCGCCGATCGACGCCCACTGCGCCCGTGGAATTGGCGTCGCACCCTTCGCGAATCCGGCAACGCATATGGCGAACACCGCAGCGCGAACGGCAGCCCCATGCAGCCCAGATCACCACCCTGGCACTCCAAAGAGCCTCCCGTGGCCCTTGCTGTGACCCCCTGCCCCCGCGGACCAACTGGGGGCAAGTTTCCAACCCGTCCGACCATCGGCACGACGCCCAGCAGAAACCACCAATGGGCGCCGCTAGTGCTCCAACCACCTCTTGGGAACTGTGGTACAAGTCCCAGTACTTTATGGTACGTGAGAGAAGCGCCCCACTCTCCACGGATACGACACCCCGCGAACTGGGGACGACAATTCACAGCCATTGACGACGCGAAACAGGGGCCGGGGCGGCCTGAGACGCGCCCACGAACCCCGTGAGCGCGAAGGCCCAAGGACCCGAATCGCAGCACCGCCATTGATCACAGCCACGGGGGGTGCCTGTTTGCGACGAGAGCAACGGCAGAGTCCCTCCGGGGGATCGAAGCCCTGGGCGGCAATTCACAGCGATCAACGATGCGAAGCGACAGCCGCGGTGCGTGTACCTACATGATCAGTGCCAGCGATCGGAGGCCCAAGGACCAGGATCGGAGCACTGCCATTGATCACAGGCACCGGAGGGCGTGCACTCGCGGTGTTGACGCCGGCGGCGTCCTTCCGGCCATTCTAGCCCTGGGCGGGGCGTCCTGGCGTGCGCGGCCGGCACTTTAACGGCGCCGCCGACCATGCACCCATTTCGAGCAGTGGAGGGAGACATGTGCCATCGCCAGCCCACCTTGTCCGTTGCTGAGGTACGCGCAGGACAGTAGTGCGGCTGTCGCGACCAGGAGGGCGATCGTGCCGCGGGCCATCGCCTGAGGGACCGGAGGTGGAGGGATCTGGGCAAGGCGGCGCGACGGGAGGTGTACTTGCTTGCGCGATCGAGTCGCTGGGTGGTTAGGAGCGCCGAACCGCACGGCTGCGTTTATGCTGGGGGATTTCTGAAGGAGGCAGACGGCAGGACGCTCTTCTGTCTGAGGAAATCACTACCCGCAGGAGGTGATGGCTGGTGTACGTTGCGGTACACCCACCAGCTCTTGCGGGCGGGGTCGAATCTTTTTCCGTGCCAAAAAATCCTCGCGCACAAAGGTTATCGCGCGTTTGGCGAAGAAAATGGTGGGGCGGAAGTCAAGCAATTGTCAGGTGGTCAGAGCGGAGGGATATCTTTTGTTTTGGGAGCATCTCCCAGCCGGAGCGCCGCTCAATCAGCCAATCAAGCAACTGAACAACTTCTGGGCGCGTGCCGATGCAAAGGAACCGGGCACGAGGCCGTTCAAATCATGGACGCCCGCCTGGACACCACGGTCTTGGCCACATGACACAACACCGGCCCTTGAGACTGTCTCAAAAGTGATTGCAGGGGGCGTCCCTCTCCAAATTTGGTTCGTTGAACATACCATTAGTCACTTAGTCCTGGTACCTTAGGACGGACTTGTGACGAACCTAGAATGTAAAAGTGATGTGTTGCACTGATCGAGCTGTGTTGAAAGCCTAGTTAAATTGCGTTATGAGATTCTTGGCGGGAGCCGGTCTGTTCACACTATGGATATGTGCAGCTGAGAAGAAGCTTCCACGGAAGATGATGAGAAGACTCGTGGCTGGTGGTCGAGCGAACGCTGAGGGTCCTGCCTGTTTTTTTGCGTGATTGGCAGAGTTGTATGTTTGCTGATGCACTCAAAAGTTTTCCCATGAAATGGCGTTGGACTGGGAAGGCAGTTGACACATATGGGACAGAAGTTCAGTGAATATGGTGCTGATGAGGAGAACTGTGACGAACTCAAGGGCGCTGTACATATTGGACCTGTATAAATTGCGGGTACACTTGCCCCGATGACTAAGCAGGATGGACTTAGGAATATGCGTGTCCT